TTCACCTGTTTCTCCATTTAAACTGGCCTATAATTAGTGACCAACTTAACGTAAGTAGTTTTGATTGTTGTTTTATTATTATTTAAAAAAAAAAAAAACTAGTCTTTTATGTTCAAGCGGAAAGGAACATTACTTGGTGCATGGAACAGTTTAGATACCGCAACGTAGAAATTTCTTCTTGCAGGCATGTCTATGCAATTGTTAAATTAGTATGTTAGCACATAATTTTAATATTGGATGAGAATATTATTCTTTAACATAATGTTATTTATTTTTCCAATTTGGCACGTGTTACACTAATATTTAGTTCGCTGATTTAAGTTTTCAATTCGAACTGATATATGATTTTATATGAACTTTTAACTATAACAGAAAAAGTTAGATATGACTTTTTGTGAGAATTTTACCCTCATTCAGTTCGCAGATTCGAATTGGAATGTGATTTTATATAAAAACTTTTTATTGGGCAGAAAAAGTTAAATGTGACTTTTTATGAGAGTTTTTAACTGTAGCAAAATTAGAATTGAAAACTCAAATTAGAAAAATGAACGATGTCTTAAACTGTAGCAAAACTGAGCTTTTTATTGGGCAGAAAAAGTTAAATGTGACTTTTTATGAGAGTTTTTAACTGTAGCAAAATTAGAATTAAAAACTCAAATTAGAAAAATGAACGATGTCTTAAACTGTAGCAAAACTGAATTGAAAACTCGAATAATGAACGATAGTGTTAAATTTAACATCAAGTATATCATATGTATCAAATTTTTAAATTTCATTGCCATTGGTTGCTTTAGTGATTTTTTATTTAATTATCATAAACTTGCAGTTTCGAAATTAACCGTTTATTTTTGCAAGTTCAAAAAAGTAAGGGGTTGTTCTTTTAGAGTTTAACTTGAGTATAATTCTTGAATTAAATTTGAGTTATAACTTGAGTTGAACTTGTAACTTGAGTTTATGTTTGGTTGTATACATTTGAGTTATGGTTTGAGTTAAGAATCTTTGAGTTTGTGTTTGAGTGAGTTAAAACTTGAATTTATATTTAGATATTATTTTAATAAAAACTCAATGCTGATGAAAAATTTTAATATGATATATGGGTCGGGTTTTATTTGTCTTGTCATTGTCAACGCATAAAAAAAAATCATCTCAATCAGAATTAAAACGAAAAAGTTATAGCATTTTTAAAAATAGTAAAAATATTGTTCATTAATTTGAATTCGAGTTTCTGAACTCGAGTTGAAGGGGAAACTCGAACTCGAGTTTTAATCATAAACTCGAATTTGAACTCGAGTTTAAACTCAAATTTTAATTTAAAAGAACATAAACTTAAATAAAATTGTAACTTGAGTTGTATTTTTTTGAGTTTTTTACTCAAAAAACAAGCCATAAATATAGCATTTGAGCGTTTTCAAATATGGTATTCGCATAGTTGCTGTGTCAAATATAGCATCGGTATTCATTTACATTGCTGGTGGTCTAATGAAAAATTAATTTCCTGAAAAACACAAATAAAAAGTTCTTAAACATGCCTAATACTTCAAACATAGAAAAAGGGATATCAACAAATATGGACGGTTTGGTAGTTTTATTCAGCAATTGACTCTATTTTTTAAAAAAAAATTAGTTGGCTCAAGTAAATCAGTGATTTATTCTGGTTAATCAAGTAAAACAGAGATTTACACCGGTCAATCAATGATTGAATTCGGTCAATAAGCGATTGACTCAAGTAAATCAGTGATTTATTCCCATCGATTTTCTTTTCTCTCCATCTCCTCGGCAGCACCGTGTCATCGCCACCCCAACTCTGGCATCTCCCCTCATCTCCGTTTTGGAGATCTGCTCGCGATTAGATTCTGTTGTCCGTCAACGTTTCCAGATCTGCTACAAACAGTGAAGTAATTTTTTCGTCGGAGTTGCCCAAGCTACAACTCAAGCTTGAGAGGAAAAAACTAATCGAGGAGAGATAAAGAGAGAGAACAAAGTAGATCGGAGAGAGGGAGAGAGGAACAGATCTCTGAGAGTTAGATGAGAGAGAGGCGGGGAGAGAGAGAAACAGAGAGATATGAGCGAGAGAGAGAGGGAACAAATTTTAGAAGCCCAATCTTGTTTTATATTTCATCGGCCACTCTTTTAATTTAAAAAAATATCGAACATTTGTTTAATTATTCTCATAAAAAAAAACCGCTTTAACAGATAAATTTATTGAAAAAGCTAGATCGCCATCCATAATCTATACTATAAATTACTTCAAAAATTAACGAGCTAAAAATTGAGCTAAATAAATTTAAACAAAAAGGCCCAAAAGATAATTAAAAAAAAAACCTAAAAATAAACATAAAATTCAAGAAAAATAAACATTTACCCCGATTTCCTCTCTTTTCTATCTCTTAGAGCTTGTTTGTTATGTGGAAAAAGAGGATGAAGAAAGAGGAAAGAAGGGTTGGTAAAACGATAATAGAACTCATAGTTGTTTAGTAGAAGAGAAGTGATGATGAATGAGTTAAAGATATTTCAAACCTTTTAAATAACCCCAAAACATGGAGAGATTAATTGAGAGAATCCGCACGTGAAAAAAAGGTCATCCGTTTTGAGTTATATGCATATCTTTCATTCATATTTTATTTATTTCTTATCAAACATAGGCTTTGTATATTAACACCACTCTAGTGAGTCCGTCAACTTTTTTATGAGATACGAAAAGCCAATCTACAAATCACGCCAAGTACTATTAGAGCTTGTTGTCCTTCAAGCTCACTTATAATACGACCCATTGTTGTTCGGTAAGAGATGTTTGATAAATGAATGAATTAGGTTAGAGACTCAAATATTTCGAATAACCTCAATCTTTATATCTCTAAATATTACGGATTAGTATAAAGAATTCGTACCAAACACAATAAGATAGAGGGCATCCTCTTTCTTTCTATTTTCCTCACAGAGGTTATATGCATTTATTTCTTTCATTTTTCTCCCTTATTAAAGGTATATTCAACCTTTCTATATCGACTCTGCTCTAACGAGTATGTCAACTCTCCGACGAGAGAAGAGAAACTCACTTATAAATGCTGTCAAGCCAAGCTGGCATTATATGACGACGAGAGAAGCTCACTATGAATGTTGTCAATGTTAGTATTTCTTGATGATCTAAACATGTTTCTACAAACTCAAATAGCATTTAGATCTAATGAGGAATAAAAATAAACGAGAGTTACATACCTTCAGTCATTGTCACGAGTCTCTGTTTTCTTAAAAATCTAATTGGGTTAAGGCTCTTCTAAATCTTAATCAATCTCTATTTGATGGTGTATTTTTTTAAAACCGAAATGAGATTGTTGACTTAGGGACCTTACCAAGAATGTACTATTTTAAATTTGCTCTACCTATCACATAGCCAACAGAGCGTGCACAAGATACAGGTACCGATCGTGCATAAAAAGTGGGTTCAGTTTTTGAACGTTAGAAAATGATGAAACGTGGACCATATTATGCTTCATTCAAACGGTTATTATCATTTTTAAGAGAAAATTCTAACATTCTCCTACTTGGTCCATATATTCCATCATTTACCATAATAAGTAACAAAAATTCATGGATCATGGCGATAGATTCTCTAAAAATAAGTATTATCTTCCATGTATTACAATGCATTATGCCTCTTAAACACTAGCCCATATTCCTTAATGAATAAACCCTATGTTTATTCTAGGTCCAAACATTAATAATGTTTTTCAAAATGTATAAATGTGCACACAAGAAAAATCAAATATGAGAAAACATCATAAATTGAGTTTCATTGAAAACAATAACCGTTCTTACAACAAAATTACATAGTGAAACCAAATCCCATTCGAATAACCTCTATCTTTATATCTCTAAATATTACAGATTAGTATAAAGAATTCGTACCAAACACAATAAAATAGAGGCCATCCCCTTTCCTTCTATTTTCCTCACATAGGTTATATGCATTTATTTCTTTCATTTTTTTTTTGCTTATTATACGTATCTTTAACCTTTTTATATCGATTATCCTATAATGAGTATGTCAACTCTCCGACGAGAGAAGAAAAGCTCATTTATAAATGCTGTCAAGCTAAGCTGCCATCATATGACGACTAGAGAAGCTCACCATGAATGTTGTCAGACTGCAATTATAGAACATCAGAACGATACATATGAAGTTGTGCTTGCCTTTCTCATAGCTAAACCAACTTAGAATGCATGGATCATCGCAATTAAATTCTAGTGAGATGAGCATAGGTATATTGGATCTCACAATTTTAGGGACGAGTTAGAGGGTGGTAAAGGTGTATGGAGGTCATAAATTTCAGTCCTTAGATTTCAAAAGAGGCCTATATTTGGATGCTTCCTCTAGCGTCTCTCCGAGCTTGTTCTCTTACAATTGGTGAATAACTCTTTTAATTTTGGGAGTTTTAGGTTTAAGTTAGGGTGAGGAAGAAGGAATAGGTAAAAATGAATATGGGGGAAATAATATTTTAAATTACAGAAATTTTTTTATAAAAATATAAATATATAGATTTATATATGTATAATTTTAAAGAATACTCTAATATTTATTCCTTAATAAATATCATTTTTTAACTGTCAAATATTGATATGACCGTCATAATAAATTAAATAATTGATAAAAAAAAAAAAAAAAACCTATATTGAAACAGAGGTTTGAACCCCTTTGCCCAAAAAGCACGTAAATAACACGAAAGAACCTTGGAAGATGGAAAGATCAGGTGGTAGAGATTTGGCGAAGCAGTTCCTTTGTTTAGTCCTGAAATTTCTCAAGCAAAAAAGGAAAAAGTTGACACAAGCAAGTCGTTGAAGCAATGGGCTAGAGGCCCATTGTGTAAGCCCATAACTAAGTGCTGAGAGATAAGAATAGGCCGACAGGCCCGAACCTGTGGGCCTATAACAATTGTCCAAAAAGCTCCGGCAGCTCTGATATGGATAAAATACGTAATCCGCAGACGAGAGGAACACAGACAGAACTCATTCAGTCCCTCCCTCTCCTAACACTCTCACTCTAGACTCTAGAGAGAGAAAGAAGCTACTGGGCGAGCGAAAATGTCGACGGCCGCTTTCTTCGGAGCTCAAATCGTGGCAGTACGGATCCCATCTGCTCCGGCGTCGTTTGCCGGCGCGAGGAAGTCAGCCCCGTGGAACGGCGGCGGCGGCGGTGGGCCGGCGGTGATAGAGTGCTCGTCTCGGCCCACCAAGAAGGCGACGGCCCACCACATGAAGACTCGGCCGAAGAAGACGCAGGCCTGGGACATCCGGCGAAAGCCCACCGTCTACGCTCCTCTCCCGCCTCTCCCTCCCGACTGGGTTCTCGCCGGTTCCGACGACTCTTCTTCCGATTCTATCCCTTCTTCTTCTTCTTCTCCCGTGGAATCACCTCCCGCCGTGAGTTGATTTCTGATTTCTTTTTTTATTTTAATTATTATCGCTTTGCTTTGCTTTTAAATTGTTGATTGGGACTGGGTTGATTTTGCTTTGTAAGTGGCTATGGATGTTTTGTCAATTTCTATGTATGTTGCTTATATGCATAAGCTCTGATTGTTGTTGCTTCGTGATTTTTTGCCTGTTTGTTTGATGAATGATAGTAGGAATTAACAGAGTACTAGACAACGGACGACAAGGAACTGTCTTTTCTTTCCTTTTTTTTTTTTTTTTGAAATGGAAAAAAGATGAGGAGGAACTTTTGCAGATAATAGACACCAGGACAAAGATGCAAGTGTATTAGAACAAAATATCCATACCCGTTTGGTTTGTCTTTTTTTTTTTGGTGAGCGTGGAAACGAAATAATCTATTTAATTTTTTTATTTATTTTATAAATCCCCCTTTATTTCCAGAGTGAAATCCCATATTTGGTATATTAGAAAGAGAAATGATCCGTTTTGGAGGCACAATTCTCAGAACTGAAGTTTGGGTAAGAGGAAAAATTGCATACGTAAAGTTAATAGACAATTTTCACCAATCTTAAATGAATTATATCATATCTAAATGTGATTGAAGATTTGAATCTGTTTCTCATCAGTAATTGTCTTTTTAATACCTTATTGCATGCTTTGAAAATATGCATGGCAAAGATTTGGGGTGATGTATTGCAATTTAAAAACTATAAAATTGGATTTTTTGCTATCTATTGTTCTTAATGTTTTAAGTATTTTCTTTCATCACAAGTTATTAATCCCAGCTATAGTCAAAACAAATTATGAAATGTTTTTTTTCCTTATTTTGTTTGTGTTCGCAAAATCATCATTGAAATCAAATGCTCAAACAAATGTACTCCACTTATGTTCTTCAGTTTAATTACAAATTAATACAAACCATTAATACAAACCACTTATATAAATTTTAAAAAAATTATTCATAAACAAAAAATAAATGGAATTGAGTATTTCCAACCATGCTCTTCTTTATAAAAATGTTTTTTCTTTTTCTTTTTTTAAATAGAATAGACATTGTGAATCGTTCTCATGTCTATACGATGTGGGATATAATTAGTTATTACATTTGTTTTTTTGTTAATTTTAAAAACTTGTAAAGACTGGTTTTTTCTTATGTTTCTTGTAACAAATTTATATCTTAAGTTATCTTATTACTAAAAATATCAGCAAAATAAATCCTAACCCGACAATAATTATTGTAAATTGTTTAGAAAAAATAGAAATCCTTGTAAAGAATGACAACCATAAATTGTAAGATAGTACAAACAGAGTGAAAAGGAAACTTTCCAGACTCTTAAAATAAATTGTTCACCTATATATGAATAAAAAGGTAATGGAATTTATTTAAGTTGAATGAATAAATTCTATTCAATTTATATAATTTGTATTTTTTTTAAAAAGAACTTAATTAATAGGATTTACTTCAATTCAACATTTGATAGTGAAAAAAAAAAAGGAAGGGTTTGCTAATAATGAGAGGAAAGAAGGCAGTTGCCTTGAGCTATAAATTTTAACAAAGTATTCAGAAGAGCTGACAGGGGTGTAGTTAATTCAGCTACTACACGGTTGAATGTGAAGATCAGAGCACCAATCCAAAATTTAATCAAATAAGAAAAGAACAAGTTTAAGGCTTGCAAGAAGTCTGTAGTCTGTACACGATGGTTCCCTTCTTACAAGGGGGATAAACTATGAGCAAGTAATTACAGAAATTGAAGGTACGTCCATTTACACTTGCGTATAATTCTTCAGTTGTTAGACAACGTATTTGGTCGTGTAGAGGGACCAAACATGTACGCACTTCTCCTGCACACTTGTTTGAGGTGCTCCGCCTCCGGCGTTTAGCGTTAAGACTGCCAACCTGAGCTTCGCCAAAGCCCGCCAATGATTCTAGACTGTCTACCCGACTCTTTTCTTGTACTTTCCTTGCACCAAACTCAGGAGGAAATCTGTGAATATGTGCTCATATTCGGGCATTTTTCCATACCCTGAAAACAAATTAAGATCCAATTCAAAACCAGAGAGCATGACTCAGGCTTCAGATGGTGAAAAGAAGAAAGAACAAGTGAACTCATCCAATAATGTTGTAAAAGTCAGTTCAACGAGAATTTGAATTAAAAGGTCACTTGCCAGGGAAGTAGTTAATGTCGATGACATAGAACTGATCTCTGGTGCCATGCTCTCGGATGATATCCAAATTGAACAACCGTAGACCCTAGCCAAGGAGGAAAAAAAAGAAAAAAGAAAAAGACATTTAATATCCATGTCGTAGTTATGTATGCCCCATAAAACCAGTAAATGAAAAGCAAGAGCTACCAATCGACGGCGAAGGTCCTTTGCAAGTCTCTCAAGTAAAGGTCGTGGCGGAAGTTCTGTAGGAAAATGAATTACCAAGCATTAGGGGCCCTACCAAGTCTTTGAAACCATGGTGTAACACAGAAATTGGACACTGCATTTTTGGAATATAAGATAGAAATAACAAAACATAAAGACATTTTTATATCACCATTAATCCATTGCAGTGCACACCCTCGTACACTGTTGAACTTAGGCAAAGTGGCTGAATAAGACACCATTCAGAAAACCACCAGCCGGCTAAACAAGATATCTTTCGATTCAATATAACTCTAACTAATATCTAATGGTAATCCATCCGTATAAACATAAGCACAACGTGTGATGTCAAGACATGTAGCTGCCAAAATGAGAGAGGTGATAGTAGAAGTGTTCTTAAACATCAAAACCTACCAGCAACATCAGGTTCCAAATCTGCATCATCTGCAGAAGCTGCAGCACAAGACACTCTGGGAAAACGATATACACCGGCGGTTTTGGAGAGCTCTCGTTTACTGACATCAGGCAAAGAGAAACGTCTGAGCACCTTTATAGCTTCTCCAATAATGTAAACCTTGAAGAGAACACCTCCTTCAACCAGGAAACATGGGATAATTTTACAATCATGACATGCTAGTGGATAACAGAGCATATAAATTACTAATTGGTTGCAGCTGCATACCATGATTAACAAACTCCTGAAGAACAAGGGGGGGTTCTAGCTTTTGGAGGGAATATCGATCAAAAGCAAGTGATAACTCATGCGACTTTGCACTCCCATCAGCAACTAGCGGCTTTGCAACTGAAACAGATATGATGATGCACGCAAAAAAGTAACAAGTCAATAATAAATTCTACTAGATAATTCCATGCAAGAATTACACAATTATTGTTATAGTCGATGCATGAAATTTGAATAGGATAAAAACTTTGCCACATTGTCCAAAGCAACAATAGCATGCTTTAAATACTTGGACTCTAAAAGCGGAAACATATTCATACCAAGGGGAAGTGTCAGCCCAGATTTTGCAACAGCATCAGAGATAGATGATCCATCTTTCTTAATAACCAGTTGTTTGGGCACGCCAACTTTGCCTGCGTAAGTTTAGTTTATTAAAAAAAAAATATATTCAGCATAAACACAATTTAATAACCATAATTATAACTACAAACTGCAAATTAAAATTCAAGCAGAACAAACAAATGATAAGCGTGCTAATTACCATATGATTCAGACAAGTCCATATCAGCAACAGCCTGAAGCATGTACTGCCGGTTACGTAAATGTTGTATGGCATCTGGAGGATCAAGAACAGTGACTTCTGGATGTGTTTGCCGATAGTCCTAAAACATATGAAAAGAAGGGAATTAAAAGAGACAATTACTGGAAATACGCACACAGCACACGTAAATATTAGTCAGAGAAAGTAGGCACGTTGGAAATCAATTAGTCAACTTAAACCAAGTCACAGCACATTTAGCTCTAATTGGTAATTAGCTGTATCAAGCCTAATCATAAATAGCCATGAGGAATTTAGAGTGAAATGGATACACAGTCCCAATCGACAAAACAAGAGGTAACCTATAAAGACCCAACCAAACGAATTTTGACTAACATCAATATTTCACTTGAATTGAATCCTCAAACTCTTACTAGAGGACTGATTATTTATCCTTCATAACTAAGAAGTCTGGTAACACACACAAACTAGCTCCTTGTCACCAAAAGAACATACTCCTACTGTACAGAAATTTTATAACTAAATATGATTTTCACCTTGTCAAATATGCAATAATTTATCCAGAAGTTAGTCAAGAAAATAAGACATCATGGAAAGTATATACTAAAAGCAAATCAGATCAAAGTATCTCAAACTACGAGTTAGTAAATGTTAAAATTTGCCACGGGGATTCATTATCAAGGTCAGCTCAACCATGTGTACACACTATGTAGAAGAGATTCTCCATAAGTTAGTTAGCATCATTCAGAAAACCTTGATTTATATTTGATAATAGCATCAAGTAACCATGAAAGGACTCAGAAGGAAAACAACAGCAACGACATTAATAATGTGATAAGTGACAACTACAATAAAACATCAAAAGCAACTCTGAAGCCTCCCGCACACCCTACAAAAGCTATATAGAAAAATATAGAGAGCCGTGTAGGCAAGTGAACCGAAATTGGTCTTTGGACAACTGTGGAAAAGAAAACAAAAAAATAATTTTAAAGTAAATTTTAGATTGAAATACATAAAATTTTCTCTATAACAATCTACGAGTGATGATGGCTTCCAACTTAGATTATTCGACACAAAAGTGAAGGACGATTTACAGACTTATCCTAAGCTTAGAAAGCGTCATAGACACAAAACCAAGAACTAGATCTTAAATTTACTAGGATCAGGTGTGCCCTTTAGTTGACAAGGTTGTAGAGTGGAAACAATCAACCCATTCAAAAGAATCAACAATCCACAAAAATGCTCAGAAAACCTGAGAAAATCAGCTAGATGGCCACAGAAGTAGAAACATCGTCACTTGCCGGAGCCTTGAGGCCTCGACCTCAACTATTGAGTCATGATTCATGACGAAGGAAAGGGAAGCACTCTGCACATTATGTTAGACAACAATAAGTTTTAACAATTAAAATTTGGTTTACCACCAGGCATTGTCAGTGACCATTTGAGTCCCACCACTGTATAATTAGTGTCAATGCAAAACACCGCAACGTAAACCTTCAACTAACATCAACAAAAATAGTTGCAAAACAAATCAATCAAGATCCAGAACACATAAAAGTTCTTTGAGATTAGACAGTATTTAAACATAGACGGACCTCAAGAACCTGGCGCCATTCTTTTCCTGATAACTGCATTAAAAAGAAAATATATAACAACAATTAGAGGAAAAAGTATTATATCATATACCCGTTTGATTTTAATTGTTCGTCCTAAAGTCTCAACTCTCAAATAAGAAAAAAAAACATCATCTAACCTTATGCAAAACGATGTCAAAAGGACCTTGATCCGAAAGAGGCCTGTTATGATCAATAGCAACAAACAGTATCCCCTTATTTCTGCATTACATGGAAAAATCCACACAATTAGTAATAAACAAAGAAAATTAAACAAAAGGGAAAGGATTTCTACTACAGGAAACTGATCCAAGTTTGCTGAAATCTCATTTAGCATTCACAAGTCTATGCGACACGTCGTACATAAAAATTTCATTTCCAAAACACGGAAAATGTTGAATAAACACCTCATAAAATTTTATATTGTCCAAGCAAATTCAGATTAAATAAGCAATTAAATTATTTCGCTAATAAGTGAGAGAGAAGCCCTTCAGAGAGCAAAAAATTTTCAGTCGGCTCATTAAAAAAAAAAAATCGTAGCTTTGATTTACGCTCATTTGAATTGACAAGAAGAAGCAAAATAATAATAATAATAAATAAAAAAATTCGTCTGCGTGTGAAATAATTATGTTGAAAGCTTCCACGATTTTTCTTTCATTTTCTTGCCAGCCAAACGAAACCGACATATGTACTAGAATATTCGATTGGGAATACGTAACCGCAGCAAAGCAACCGAGAATCTTTCACAAATCCAACGCCACAAATCAAATCCTCTTTGCACAAGAAACATAATCACCATAAAATAAAATAAAAAATTGAATCTTTACACTCCTTTTTTAAATCTTTTTAACCGAATAAATAATTTTTACGGAATATTCAAGGCTGTCGGTAGAAGGAATATAAGTAAATAAATTCCAATCATTTTCTTCCAAATTACCTAGCTAATCCTTCAAGCTTAGGCTGCAAGAAACTCTTCGTCTTCTTCGACGTAAGAGCGTATCCAACCACAACCACTGATCTCTTGTGGAGAGGAAACCCTCCTACTCCAATACAACATTTCTGTTGTTCCGAAATCAATCCTCTTTCCTCTACAAACTCTTCTCTTTCCATGTCTTCTTCCTTACTGTACACCATTTCCTCCCTCATCTACTCTTCCAAACAAATAAACAAACAAACAAACGAAATTTCCTCGCAACCAACGCACTTTCTCGGAAAATTTTTGAACTTTCTAGGTCAGGCCGAGAAAATGAAAGAATCAAATAGAGAGAGAGAGAGAGAGAACGCGTTGATTTTTTTTTCTTCTGGTAGTGAAAGATGAGATTTCGGAGATCAAACACAGAATTCGCAGAGAAATGGCGAGAGAGAGCAAGAGAGATGTGATGATTTTGCTTTTAGGAATTACTTATATAGGTGGCGAGGAGGAAGAAAATAGAAGAATAAAGAACTGGTGTAAAATTCCCAAAAAATAGTAAAAGGACAAAAAGGGAATGAAAAGACGGAGAGAAAAAAGTGGTGTAAAGGAATTGGATTCCAGCTTAGCAGAATAAGAGGGTTATTTTAGTAATTTCGTATTGTTTTAAAAATATTTTAGTAGGGGTAGGGTAGGGGGGATGCGGTGGATGATAGGGTGAGGGTGACCACTCTACGGTCACAGTCCACAGGCACGCTTTGGTCTCTGTGTTTTTCGCTTTGTAATTTGTTTCTTCCGATAGCGTTACCTGTCGTTCATCAAATTCCGTGCACAATGCTTTATTGTTAACGCTACACGTATGCACCTGAAACATTAATTGCTATTCCTACAAACCTTTATGCTTTCAGAGCTGTCATACTCGTCTTTTTAAGAAGGTAGGTTATCGTATTAATAAGCGAACAACTTTGAAAAAAGTCCTCATCTTTACGCCAAATCTATTTGATCTCGGGTACATAAAAAGAATAAAATTTATTAATTTAAATTAAAATATAATTTTAGGTGAAAAGTTTTTATTATAATATAAATATTAAATGAGATTATTTTTAAAATTTTTTTATTATAACAAAACTTAAATTTAAAATTAAAATTAATTAAATGAATGGGGCCTACATTATCACACTTCAAACTATTTATTTTTCCTATAATAAATTTTAATATTTTAATTTTGATAAATAACATCATAAACTTTAACATCAGTGATAATTGAGATTTATTAATAATTGATGGCGTTAGCACATGATGATCTTTAGTGTCATATTAGATGTTATAACATACATTTGTTGGAGAAACACTAGCACTCAATTATAAAAAATATAACAAGAACAAAATATGAACACATCCTATCTCATCCTTCTTCAACATCAGCTTATAATTTTGCCACTCTTACTTACATGATAGTATGATACATGGGTGACACGTGATTATGTTCCATCTAAATTTAAAACAAATATAACAAAAGTACTAATTTTTGTCACACGAAGATATCTCCATCAGATCATTTTTAGGATGTTTCAAATGTTAAGGATCAAATTAGAATTTAGTGTAAAATCTGGGGACTATTCTTGAAATTATCCTACTAAATATATCTAAAATATTAGAAAATTAATTGATATTTTCAGTTATTTATGTTGTATTGATTTTTCTCGTTAAATTAGTAATTTCCTGTGCTACATATCATAAGCTTTCAAACTCGACATTTTTCTTTTAATTTTGACAGAAATTTTCAACCTTGCTATTTTGAGGTCATCAAGAAACTAGGCATCAGAATCGGTGGATCATGGATGTAGTAGTATGACTTATGAGACACGTTAAATTTCATTTTTTTTTTTTTTACCATAACAAGCTAAACAATGGTATAGGGACTATAATTTGATATGTAATATTACCAATATATTATTGATTAGTAATACTTTTTCATATCCATTTCTTTGGAAAAAAGCCAAAAAAACGTCCGTATTCTCCTGTGGTGGTAATTTGATATGTAATGCTTTCCTTGCTAATTAGTTATAAACATCTTTTTTTTTTTTTTTTTTTTTTTTTTTTGGGGGGGTTTGACATTGG